CTGATGAGACGGCATAGCAGGTATTGACTTAGATACACAGTGTAGACCTAAGTTCAATCCCTGAGCCACATGTAAGGTAGAAGGAGAGAACCGATTCCACAAAGCTGTCCTCTGATCTCCACATATGAACCATGGCACAGGAGCCTACACACACACACACACACACACACACACACACACACACACACACACACACACTAATAATAGCTATTATTATAATTTTTAAACATGGAATCTTCAATAGTTCTATGGAAAAAACTCAGTATCAACGATTATCAACAAGATGCAAATCAGAACCACAGTGACATGTCACCTCCTCTCAGTTAAGAATGGCTATCATCAAAAGAGAAAAAAAAGGAGACTAGGGATATATTTGAATGATGCAGTACTTGCCCAGCATGCAAAGACCCTGTTTTTTTTTTTTATTTCTTTCTTGAGACAGGGTTTCTCTGAAACTCATTCTGTAGACCAGGCTGGCCTCAAATTCAGAGATCTGCCTGCCTCTGCCTCTGATTAAAGGTTTATGGTGGCACAGGCCTTTAATCCCAGCACTTGGGAGGCAGAGGCATGTGGATCTCTGAAAAAAGGGAACTCTTAAATACTGTGGTAGGTGGGGGTGTGAATTATCATAGTCACTGTGGTCAACTGGGTGGAGGTTCCTCACAAAGTTAAAGTGAGAACTACTGAATAATCAAGCCATTACTTCATATGTCAAATAAAACTGAGTGTCAGTCTTACGTTTTTTGATTATAACAGCACTGCGCAAGACAGCCAGGATGTGACATCCATTCAAGTCAACTCAATCATCATGTACAGACATGTATATGAATGTGATGCCCATATGTGTTTATCTAAATACTGTCAGCCTTACTGATGAGTGAAGCTTGGCCATATGCAACACCCAGAAGGATGTTAAATAAAGTAATGCAGGCGTAAAAGAACCAATAAGATGTGGTCTCATCCACACATGGGATTTCAACTGATGTTACAGAAACAGAGTGAAGAATGTTGGCTATGAAAGATTGCCGGTTAGCCCGGGGACAGGATGGAGAGAGGCTGGACAATAAATACAAGTTACACGGGAAGAATGAATTCTCGTGTTCTATCACACAGCAGGGTGATTCAAGTGAACAATAATGTCTATTGCAAAATAGCCTAAGCTGTACAACTGATGCATATTCAAAATAGCCCGAGAGATATTCTCACCACAACAAATGATAATTATTTTGAGATTGTAGATAGGCTCGTTACCCTGATTCGATTATGACACTCTATACACATGCCACAAAACATCGTATTTACCCCATAAATATGTACAATTATTATGCCAATTAAAAATACCAGAACCTTTCAAGAGCTTGTCATGCAAGTGACTTCAGCAAAAATCACTGCTGAACTAAAATCCCACTCAGAACCAAACCCCCCAATGAATCTCTTTCCTACAAAGTGCTTAAGCAAAAACAAAGTTAGAATCTCCATGGAAACAGTCTGGAACTCTTGAAGGAGAAGCGAGGACAAAAGTAAGCATGAAAAAGCATTTATTTATTTATTTCTTGTTCGTCTTCACCTCTGCCCCTTCTGAGCCTCGGGTTGTCATCTTAATGAATGCTTTTAAGACTCCAAAGGAATTAAGAACATTTGACAAGAGCAAGGAAAGGACTAAATATAGAGCCTCTGTGAGAGAAATGGTTCTGTAATCTTTGCTTCTGTTCCCCCTTCTCCTAGCTGGTAAACTCTCTCTCTTTCGCTGTTACTTTTGAGTTGCTGTTATTGTACAATTTGGCTGTTTGATTACTTGGTTATTATTAGACTGGGATGAAACAGAGATCACATCATGAAACACAATTTTTGTCTTCTTGAGAAGGGTCATTTAATGAGATGATTGAAGCCAGTTACGGAATTAATATTTTAGCATCTCCTCATTAGGGCTGGGCATGCAGCTCAGTTGGTAGAGCACTTGTCTAACATGCACAGAGCCCCGGGTTCCATCTCCAGTACTGGACAAAACCAGATGTGGTGGTGCATAGCTGAAAGCTCAACACTCAGGAGGTGGAGGCAGGAGGATCAACAGTTTGTGATCATTGTTGGCTACATGGTGAGTTCATAGCCAATCTGAGCTACAGGAGACCCTGTCTCAAAAATACAACGAACAAAAAATACAGATCAACAACAAAATCCCAAACTACATTGTCTCAGGCTAATTTTCACTTGCCCCATACTTTAAAATTTCTAAAATGATTTCTTATCCCTTAGTCCACCACATTAGTCCATTTTCTCTTGCCAGTAACACAATACCAGAGATTTGGTATGTTATAAAGAAATGAGGTTTGTTTTGGCTCACGGTTCTGGTCTAACACAGAGGGGGCCCATATGGTGATGGCTTTCTTGGGGGCATCCTTAAGGCACTGCAGGGTGTCATGTGGTCAGAGAAAGGGAGTTCACAAAAGACTTTTAAGCAAAATGGCTTTTCTAGTAGACCCACTTGGAGAGAAGTCTTCAGGCCACCAATCCACAGATCCATGAGTGGATAGCTCTGTTGGTGGATGCACAGCCTTATTCTTTGGACAATCACATCTGGACTCACCTCTCAACATCTCACAAAGAGAATGGAATCTCAACATAAGTTGTGGAAGAGGCAAGCCATAGCTTTCATCATTTAATCAGCATGGCATGAGAGGTAGGGGGACTATGGTGGGGATCATTCACTCACTGCCCAGTGTATCACTCCTCCATTAAGCAGAGACACTCATAGTGAGTAGAGGTCTCATTCCACACCTTAGATATCAGACACACTGTCCTCTCAAACACCTATTGTAGATGTTGTATCATGATACCTTTTTCGTCTTTATTAGATATTATTTTTTTCATTTCATTTAGAATTTTATGCATTAGTGTTACAAAGTGCTGATCTTTCTCTCTATTACTACACATCAGGAAATATTCTAAGGAAACGTACAGGCTAGCTAGAATAGGTGGACTTTTGCCTTTCCTGAGTCTGGCTATTTTTAATATGCTTCCCCTGGAACTGTCTGACCTATTTTTAATCAATAAATCAAACATTACTTCAAATTCAGCGATAGACGACTTGTTGAGGACCAAAGTGACCTTTCATAAGTCTGAAAAATTAAAATGGTCACTAGTGCATTAAGCAGCTCAGACATGATTCTCCTGATTGTTGATCATGGCTCAAGGTTCATTTCCACCTCCCACTGGGGATAAACTGCTGTTTACACTGCCTTCAAAATGAAAGGCAGTTGAAGTCTGAACCTGCAATGGTTCCGAATGGGAAGATGTTTATAAGGCAGGATGCCCTGCTTGTACATCTTTCTGTTGCCTCTAACTACTGGAAACTAATAGGGTTCAAGACACACCATGGATCTGGGAGACATGAGGACCAAGAGTTCACAAACTATGTGCAGTAAAATGAAAGTAACATCTATTCTTTAAGATAGTCACTATAGCCACTCCCTTGACATTTTAACACATACTGCTTATTTGACTTTTTAATGCATACCTTACTAGGTATTATCGCATTGCTGTTAAAAAGTAAAACCGCCAGGCGGTGGTGGCGCACACCTTTAATCCCAGCACTCGGGAGGCAGAGGCAGGTGGATCTTTGTGAGTTCGATGCCAGCCTGGTCTACAGAGCGAGATCCAGGAAAGGTGCAAAGCTACACAGAAAAATCCTGTCTCAAAAAAAAAAAAAGGGCAAAAATAAATAAATAAATAAATGAATAAATAAATAAATAAAATAAAATAAAATAAAATAAAAAGTAAAACCTCCCCACTGAGGACTTTCCGTTTGGTTAGCCATCACTACAGCGCATTGCAGCAATTGCTCTCATGAATTCACGCCCTCCATTTTTGGCTATGCATCGAGGGGCTTCTATATGATACTTTTATGACTATTAGCTTGGCATTTTTGTTCCAATCAGCTGTATAAGAAGTCTGAAAATATCACCAAAAATGGAGTTACTAAAAGTAATCTGGTGGTCTAGGCCTGTAGGGAGACTAAGGCAGGAAGATCTCAAGTTAAAGCTACTCTAGAGAGAGAGTTCAAGGCTAGCCAGGGCCATTCGGTGAGACCTTGTCCGGAGAATTAAAAGCTGGGACTGGGGATGGACTTCGGTTGGATTCAAACCCCAGGAGCACCTACATCAACTGTGATGGTGCACACCTGGAATCACAACACTCAGGAGTTGAAGACAGAGAATCAGAAGTTCAAGGTCATTTTCTGTTATGCAGCAAGTTCTAGGTCAGCCTGGTATACACGCAGTCCTGTCGAGAGTCAGAAGGAGGATGGGAATGTAGTTCGGTGGTAGAGCACGTGCTTAGGCAATGTGAAGCCCGAGTTCAATTTTAGCACAACAAACAAATAAACAAGGGCATTTGGATCCGTTGGCATTTCTAGAAAATTCTGAGGCTAGCCTCAGCCTTTAGTTTATCTGAATCCAGCACTGTAACCAACGGGAGCTACACATATTCACAGCATACATAAGGACAACCCACGTCACTGTCCTGATGGAGGTTGGGACTGGTGACACCCCCCTTCTTTCTTTCCAGCCATCACCAGCTTTCAGTGATACCACTGGTCCTTTAGGATTCAGTTTAGGGGGATGGTCTATTTGCTACACATAAGGCGGATGTTTAGTGAAATTTAATTTAAAGGTCAAAAAGTAGCACCTCCAAGAGATTTTAATGTTCCCAAAAATGTTTTCCATGAGGCATGCATGGTTAATCAAACTAATTTTAAAAAAAGGAGGAGGGAGTGCTGGGGGCTGGGAATGCAGCTCAGTTGGTAGAGTGCTTGCCCCAATTTGAGAAGCACTGGCTGTGGCGGTGCATGCCTGTACTGCCAGCACTCAGGAGAAGATCAAAAGTTCAAGGCTGTCCTTGGCTACATCAAGTGTTCGTAGTCAGCCTCTCTCAAAATGCGAAAACTAATTAGAAAGAGAACCATTCCTTCTTTCTGCAGAACTAGAAATAACCAATGCAACAGCAGTTTTTAAAAATTATATTTAATACAAGTGAATAGATTAGAAGATCTGAAATGTTATAAAGCGATATACACAACAAATAAATAATCTGTACAGGAGAGCCACGTCTCCATTGCATACCACTGTCTGATATGGGAATACTTAAATCCAGTGACAATGGAGAAAGTCCATAAAAACGCTAACCTGTTGTCCCTTGTATGAAGTTCTTCAAGTATAAAAGTCCAATACAGTGTAAAATAGTATTCAATTTAGTTTAAGAGTAAAAATTGCAAGTATCGCACTTTCAGAAGGAAAATATAAAGCGGTATTTTAAAACTACGTACACTACACCAGGAAAGTGGGGAAGCCATGAGTTCCCGATAGATGAGATCTGCAGGGGTTGAACAATCAAGAGGAGGAAGCACAGAACCAGCAATGGAGCTTGTTTGAAAAAAAGAAAATCTCAAGACTAAAATAAACTCAAATGTGTTCAGGTAAGAATACCCCTCTTGAACAGTGCACATATGAATTTAAAGAAATCCAAGCCAACATCTTGAGTTGAATAGGTTAATATTTAATATGCTACATCTAGACCTACTAAATAACTTATGCCATGAGATGAATACATAATCTTACAGTGTCACGTCTAAAGTTCCTTCCTTTAGAGTGCAGCAGAGTAAAACTTAAAAATAAATATCTTAAATAGGATTATTATTAAGGCACATTATAAAGTACATGATCATCAACCATCAAAGAATTGTAATGTCAAGAACCTTGCTGTCTTAGGTACTGTAGTCACTAATAAATAGTTTTAAATAGGACTCTGAAATAGATACTAAAAAGTGTAGAATTATTTAAAACAGGGGAAGAAAATAAAGGCCCTCCAGACAGTCCCGAAAGGTTGAGCATCCGCAAACTTTGCCTGCCTTTACCCATAACCCCCAGTCCCTACAATAAATAGAAAAGTGGTGGTGGTGGAAGCCTGACCAGCAGATGAAAGTATCCCCAAGTGAAACAGGGTGGGGAGAGGGATCAGAATGTGACAAGCTCCTCCTACAAGTACAAGTGATGGTCTCTTTCCAGAACTGTGTGTGCCATTGATTGTCTGAGTGGCTGGTACAGTATCAATTGCTCCACGATCCCACGAGTCCACAGGACAGATGAGAAAATAGCTTTGGTACCTGTCTACCACTGTACCCGCTGCCATACTTCTAAACTGATTGTTCGATGCCCATTTTTGAGATAACGCAAACACTACCTTCTGCCTCCACAGAGTTCTGCAGGCCGTGGGGGGACTGCAACAAAGGACAGCCAGCACTGATGCCATCTTGTTTGTCTTTAAAAATCTACTTTTACACGTAATTCAAGCTACATATTGCTCACTCCGTATTCCCTGGTTCAACTAGATTCACATAGCATTTTCTAACTTGGAAAAGGCAGTTTGCTTCCCTGATACTATAAAAAGAGCAAAAAATAAAAATCCCGATACAAAAGTGAAGTCCCAGTGATACCCCTGCCATCATGTCCTAGTGGCTACTCTGTGTAACTCAGGCTCTTTGGGATTGACTTCAAAAACTGCTTCTCGCCCTCCCATTCTCCCCTCTTCATCCGCAGCACTACTCGGAGTATGAAAAAAAGTAATGCATCTGATTCACAATAGCTTTGCTTTCCCCCTTTAAAGCTATTAAGTCAACGTTAACATTCTCTACTAAAAACTGGGAAACTGGGAGGGAAAGAGAAACCCTTTGACTTGGATCAGATGGCTGGTTTACTGCATTCGGTCTGTCTGCAGCTGTTGAGGCTGGTACTGGCCAAAGGCTGCTGCGGCTGCAGCTGCTGCAGCCGCGGCTGCAGCTGTCCCAGGTGCAGCGGCGGTGATCGGCTGCTGGACAGCGTAGCTGTAGCCCCCAGTGGTTACGTAGCCTGCCGCCGCTGGGGATGCTGCATAGGGGTACTGGTCATAGGCAGCGGCTGCTGCGGCTGCAGCTGCCGCCGCCGAGTATTGTGCGTAGGCAGCTCCAGTGTAATCAATGTACGGCGTGGTGGAAGCCGCAGCTGCTGTGGGCTGGACGTGGGGAATAACCACTCCAGGCTGCACAAAAGCCTGCGGGTAGACGTAGTGGGCAGGGATCCTGTTAAGAAATAAGAAACAAAATCAGACAACAGCCGTCTCCAGTGGAACTCTTTGCTCAGAGATGGAGACAAACTCAAATTTAGTGGTTGCTATCAACATAGGGTTGCCATAATATCTACTTTTTAGCAGTCCATTTGATGCACCCTCGAGAGAATTCATCAACAAAGACAGAATGGCATTCTCCTTGTTAGAATTTCTGCTTATGACTTCGAAGCATGCAGTATCAGGTATGCCAAGTTTGGAAAGTGAACCATGATTCGCCAGGGCTGTGCACGGAACAGAGATTTCACAGGGCTTCCTGAGGATTTGTCAGGTTCATATAAGAAAGACATGGCTAACAAATAGAAAAATCCGTGCTGTGTGAATGCAGGGCTCGGAAGGTTGAGATCACATGGTTCTGTGGGAGTGACGCCTGGCTGTTAATGGGAGAATAGACTCTGGATGTTTATCATGGCAACCCTATTTGAAATCGCTAGGCAGATCAGCACACATTAATCTCTCGGCAACCTCAGTCACCCTGATTAAAAATCATAATTACAAAAGAAGCAGGCGACAAAATAAAATAAAAAACAAAAAACAAAAAAAACACCCAAAACCAGGAGTGTAAAAGTTCACAAGTGTGGTAACACAGCAGTCACACTCCTCAAACGACAGTAGTGCAGCTCACTCCGCTCACAGAGGCTGTTGTGGGAAGCTACCAAAATGCTATTCACAGTCCCAGCAGTGATTCCCAAAGAGGTGTGCAGCACACTTGTGCTCACGCTTTTTTTTTTTTCCATAAGGACAGAACAGTCAGTCAAACCTGTTCCACTATCAGGCAAATGAGGCGCAGCCAGCTTGCTTGTCTCTATGCAAGACAGACAGAAAGGGGTTGGGGATGATGAGGTTGATGGAAAGTTAGGGACAGGAAATACAACCAAACGTCTCTGAACTTAAAAGAGACTTCGAAGATATACATTGTCAACCAGCGCTTATTCTGCACGCTCACTAACTCTTACGTCAGCCTCCACGTCAGAAGACATTCATTTACTAGCCTATCTGCTTTCCATCTGCCCCGCTAGTTAACATTTTGTATAGTTCAGTTGTATGCTTATGGGTCACCCTGAAAACAGCCAAGAACATGAAACAAACATCAAGTATTGTCTTAAATGCTGTATTCGCAGCTCCCATACAGGACAGACCTGAGGACCTCACAAAAGTGTTGGTTAAAAAAATAAATCCCAAGAGGTTTGTTTATGAGATCACATGCGTTACTGCTGCCACTCTTGTGTTTATCACCGCCCATTTATAAAGTGCTACCTCCAATATCTGGCTTATTTTTGTCTTTCTTTAAACGAATCTCCCTCACAACTCCCCATCTTTCTAAAAATAGAACACAGGCATGCTATCTGGCTGTCAACAACACCAACTTATTAGTAGCACAAGCACAAATAACCATCTTCAAATTCTAAAGAACTCGACACAAAACATCATGTTCAGGCTTTTCAAAAACACAGACTTTTTTTTTTCCTTTGTCTCTTCCGAATTCTACTGGAAGCACTCGTTAAGAACATCCATGGAAAAGATGAATTTATCAGAGAGAGTGGTGAACTCTGTCTCCCCGGGATAAAAATACATTCAATTTTACTAGAATTGTAGCTCTTTCCCAGTGCCAGCAGAAACCATGTTACCAAGTGTTTCTGAGGACACTTGGAGATGTTCTTAACTGCATGTCAGAAACCAGGCGCGTGGTCGTGCACGCATTCAGAACTCTGTGGCAGATCAGGTGACTGGCTCACCCTTGGTGACAGGTGTGGCTGTATAAAACACTGTCCCCAGAGCTGATATGTCCACAATGTGCAGACACAGCTAAGAGAACCTTCTCTCCTGCCAGTTTACATGTGGTGACGGACAGCAGAGGCTGCAGAGGGCTATTTTTGATTCTGTCATGCGACAAGGGTTTCCAGCGGATAAAATGTCTTTATAAGGCCAAAGTAAAACATCTATCAGCTACAAAGGCCAGCCTGTCTGAACCTCACTGATAGGGAGACATTAACCCTTGGTGTGCTCCCGATGTTCTGAGGACAGCGTGATGGTTGAGAGGTTTGGATCTTCAAATAACAGAGTAGCTCAAAGAAAGTTTATTCTACCAAAAAAAGGGGGACACATGCCATCCATTCTACACCCAGGATGTGTGTGTAGGAAGAATGTGTTAAAACACTGAAAGGATTGCTTAGAGAATTACTGTCTCTATATTTATGTTAATGACTACTTCTGATTGGACAAAGCTGTCTGGTGAGAACATAAGTAATTTTTCTGGAAGATCAGATTCCTCCATTCTTCCTCGCAAGGGTGAGGAAGACATCCCAGAGGCAAATGAAGTCCTGGGGCCTTTGAAAGATGATGGAGAATCAGAGCCCAGAGAACCCCAGAGAGACTCATGTCTCAGTCCATGGAGAAGGCAGCAGACGGCTGAAGGGTGTGTTAGGAATTCTTTTAATAGTCTAAGGAACTCAGTAAAGCAAATTGGGAATGCCCCTCCCATTAGAATTCTACCAACCACCAGTTCTTTAATCCACTATAGAATCCTTACATCAAGCAGATCCAAACCCTTGGATGATTAAAAAAAAAAAAAGGCTACATTTTCCTTCTATCTCCATCTCTTCAGGTCCCCCTGACTTCTCTTTGTGATTTCTTCCTTCCTTCTTTTTTTAAAGACAAGATCCCTCTGCGTAGCACAGGCTGACTTCAAATTTATGATCAATCCTGCCTCAACCTCCAGACTTCTGGGATTCCAGGCATATGCCACCCAGCCAGGTTGTTCTCTGTGACTTTCAAAGCAGTTAACTCTTCCAGTCTATCGTGTAGACTGGTGATCAAGCCTTCCTTTCATCCACTTGCTTATAGGAGTCACTAACTCCTAATCCCACACCAAGCCATCTCTTAAAATCTCATCACTTTGGGCCTTTTGTGCATTTGTCTCCAAAACACCTTTTCAGTATTTCTTTTTACTTTTGGACCCAGGTCAGTAGGGCATCTTCTTATTTCCTGGACATGCCACAGATCACCAGATCCCACTTTGGCACATGCCATCCATTATACAGCCAGGATGCCAACCCTCCCTCCAGTTTCTACCTCCCCCATCCACCCTAGGTCTAGACCTCAGTGCACAAGAACCTTTGGAAGTCCACATTCCCTCTTTATCTCACACTGTTCCTATGTGAAAGAGACTGACGTTTTCCAGCCCAGAGTTGCTGTACATGAAATAAAGTTCCCTGTGAGGGGGCCTCCAGTAGTAAATACAGTAGATGCTTAATACTTAATAAAATAGTTCCCCATCCTCACCCTCCTTCCAAGATCTAGCTCATCTTCTTCATGAAGACTTCCTGAAACCCATTGATCTGCTTTTGTCTGAGGCCCTTCCCAGAACTAATTATTTTATTACTAGGTGATGAGAAAGTGATATTATGTCTTTTCTGGCTGTAGCTTAACATCAATGGACAGAGCTTCCAAGGTGAGGCAGACCATGACCGAAATGGGATTCACTCTAACACACTCACTAGTTCTGTGATGGGAAGAGGGAGTTAATAAACCTGTCTGCACTTGTTATGTTGGTTGCCAAGAAAGAACTATAACAGTGTCTTTTCCAAAGGCTTATTGTAAGAATTAAACGGCATAATTTATGTACATCTCTTACCAGTTCTATGCACAGAGTACACCGGGTTTCCACCTCTTGCATACACCCAGGCACTGAAAAAATGCTCCGTGAATGCTTCCGTGCATGGTTAACTTGGTGCAAACTACTCCTTGAGGCTCTACTCACAAACCTGCAGCATCTCCATTCCCAAGGTGTGATGAGAAAATACCTCTCAAACAGAGACCATTGAGAAGCTGATGCTCATTCAGGCCACAAGCTCCTCCACATCTGCCCTCTGTGCTAAATCAGAAGTTCTTTCAGCCAATGTCTTTAAAGATCTTAGGTAACCCAGGGGCCATTTAAGGACCACAGAAAACTAATAGTCTCCTCACTAGCCTTTCAAACAAGTCAAAATGTGAGAATTCTCAAGCTTGCTCCCAGGCAGGTCTAAGATAAGAACATGGCATTCACATGGCGTTTAGAATGACCAGGTGTGATTTGCTGGTTACAGACTTGGTCTCAGGGCAGTGCTGAGAACCACTCATAAAAGAAAGAGAAACCTAACATGGTCTACCTGGAATGCTCTCTGCTTCTAATCTCAAGTTCAACTTGAATCTCAAGTTCAACCAATTTATGCACACTGTAACAATCACCATTCTTCATAAAGACAGTTAATATCAGAAGAGATTAAAAACAAAAGGTTACTATCAAAACACACTTGATTTAAGAGGTCCATGTAATACATATCACCCTGGTGGTTCTTTTCTTCGAGTTACTTTCTTTCTCAAGGATCTGGAAGGACTCCCACTGCCAGGCCAGATCTGTTCAGCTGGTCCTCAGATACACTGTAGTCTCTCTACATGGACCCTCTCTGCTTACCCTCCTGGCTAGTTCATCCCATCACACCTTTTCGACACACCCGGTGTCCCCATGTGGTTCAAGTCTACTCTCCCTCCTCATGGCTTGTCCCGTTCTCCCAATCCATGGGTTTTCTTGCCATTCTCAATTCCTCTCAAACTTGAATCAATAATTCTTGGCTGCTTTGCCATCTTTTTGCTACCCACAACTGAACCCACAACTTGTTTTTACGAGGTGATGTACACTTAACAAAAGCTGTTCATTGATTGGGTTTTACGCTCTTTCACAATGATTCCTGGGAGGCCAGGACTAAGCCCACTATTACACCTTCAGATGTATGTTTTCTTCCATTCCCACCTAGACTGATAGTCCGCACCAATGAAATATCAGCAGAGGGAGAAGGGAGGAGAGGGAGGGGAGGAAGAAGGAGAGGGAGAGAGAAAGAGGGAGGTGGGAATGCAGGCTGCAACTAACTCATTGCTTGTTGTCCACATCTAAGTTGGCTTGGAAGGGGCTTTGATACAAAGCTATACTTCATTATAGCTTTTTAAAAAGTTGTAGATATCTCTAAGAGTGAGTTACTAATAGATTAAGGTAACCAGAGGGTAGTAAGGAAGTGTCCATCAAAATATAACTTGCTTCTTCCAAGTCAACTTATTACTTGGCTTTAGTTTAGCTTATATTGGGTAATACTTATGGTAGGCATCTATCCGTGAAGATGGATTCTAGCCTTCTAGGTGATGCATGGGAATGTTTAGGTCCTAAGCTGGATATCAATAAAATTCTTCCAACAGCTTGGATATTCAAAAGAGAATCAGAGCTAACAAGAATACCGATCAGGTGGAAGACAGAGGAAACAGACCCTAATGTCCAGGATAAACGGACGGCCATAAAAGGCGGCTTCCCACCTGTGTCAGGTTTAACGCAAGGGAACTGGGGACCTCAGGAGCTGGTAATAACAACCCAGAGAAAACACAAAGATGAGCAGACTGTTCACCTGTTAGGTCTGAAAGGTGGGAGTTAGTACTGTGCTTACTCAAAACAAAAACCAAACAAAATTAAGGGGGATAAAAGCCCAAACTGGTGAGTGTTAATGAAATCTGAATTGAGCCGCTGAACCTTTATCAGAAGACCTGGAAGTGGACATACATTGCAAAAGAAAGCCAGTCCCCAGAAAACAGAGACTTACAACATGCAAGCAGTGAATCTGTATTCTTACAGAGAGAAATCACACGATTTAGCACTCACTACAAAAATGTTAAATGGAAGTCACAGGCTAATAGCTTAAAAGCAGGAGGGGGAAAAAAAGGCCCTTTGCTTCCCAAGGCAAAGTCAAAAGTCAACACTGCTCACCACCACCACCAAAAACAAACGGCAAAGAGCCCCTTCCCCAAGGAAAGAAAACACTCACTACAGCTCTGTTCAATTAAGTCAAAGCACACAGTTTAGCTATCAACACCACTTCATTACTGTAATAAATAAAATAAAGCACACGGAGGGCTATGGACTATAGTGAAAAAAATAAAAACAACACCACCAACATCCATGCATGGTTAATCACCATCTGAGCTTGTGTGTCTGAGTCTACTGGTTACAGAGTTTAATTCCAAACAGAACTAGTCCACCTCTTATGATCGCATCCTTCTCATCAGTTAGCTTAACTGTATACGAGCCCTGTCAGGTTAGAAAGAGATAAATAACATTGAGTCAAGCTGAACGGCAGGAATGGTGATGGGACACATGTCTTGTGCACAAGTCATACCTGGTACTTTGGTTTGGTTTGGTTTGGTTAATCATAAGCCCAACATTTGGCTGGTTTGGAGACTGCATACTTGGTCAGATAACTTGACTCATCTAAAAATATTTATAGTATCAGCATTAAAAAGATATATAAGCATATATAAATATGCATAACCCGGAACGTTATGTGAATTCTGTGACGTGTCGACCTTGTCTGTTCATAACAAAGAGACAGGGAAACAAATGGTGGCCATGTTGAAACTGTAGAGGGTTTGATGAATTGACTTACCCGAAAGGTCTTTGTATAAGGGCCGGGTGAAGCTGTTGAACGCCAAAGGCAAAACCTAACAATAAAACACACGTTTTCCATTTGTATACAATTAGATACTTAACTATTCCTGCACAGAAACTGTAATCCCAATTCCTGATTTAAAAAGAGTCACTCCTATGACACTTTAGAGTATACACGGACATGTTCTTTATATTGTTTTATAAATGTTATAATTCATCCTAAATAAACAGTTGGATAGACTAAGATTGGAAAACTTTAAAAAAAAGGGGTAAAGCTTAGTTAACAGCCATAAAAAAAGATTTAAAATAAATTAGGCCAGAGAAAACTGCTCATGAGGGAGATCCAAGAACTACAATGAAGTTAAATTCACAAATATTCCTATAGTTGCAACCCGTGGTAGGGAGGGGAGAGGGAGAAAAAGTCTTTGCAATTAGGAACATTCCGAATGCTTTGAAAAATTTTACAGTTTATATTTACATTTTGCATTTATAGTATTAAAATTTTCACAAAAACAAATTTCCCCATCATTCTTTTAAGAATAGTACATGCACAAAAGATGTTTCAGAAAGACAGTTTTGAACGTTAGTGGGTACTTCTTTGTGTATTCCCTTTCTGACAACTGAGCCCCTGAGCTGAGGTGTCAACCTCTTTTTAAACTTCCATAGGAAAGGCTTAGTGAAAAGCACACGGTTTAGTCAACAAAGTTGCTTGCCCAAGGAATGGAAGACATTTGCTCTATTGTCAACTGAGTTATTCTCAATGAACGTCAAGGACAGTAGCAAATAACAGGTTGTATTTTCACACAGACAAATATGCTACATCCCATTGTCAGTTAACAGCTACAAGAATTTTAATAAATTATTTCTCATCTCCAACTAAGTATCAGTCAAAAAATAATCTGTAGCCTGTCAAGGTGAAACTTACTATGTGTAAGTATTTGATTGCTAGTATTCCGTATGTGAAAACATGTGCTTCCTTAGTCATGCCCGCTCTGAGCACAGTGTGACTGGCCTAGACCACACTAAGAAGGGAGGCTTACTAGCTGGTGGCGACAAGGCCCACATAGTTTGCCTTTTTAGCTACAAGTGGCTAGTAAAAACAGAAAGCAGACAAACATATATATCATCGTATAAGAAATGCATGAATTAACTTCTGGGTGCAAGCTCTCTAGACCCTAAGTTCTATTTTTACACATAGATACATTTCAAGTACCCAGCGGCACACTTAGAATGCTCATATATCTTTAATGCCTTGGTGGAATAACCAGCCCCGGCTCAAGTTTTACCAAACAAACACCACTACAGATTTTCAGGAAGCTGGTGTTTTCTGGGCTGGGGATGGCAACGATCGGCTCATTCCCCACAGTGGGTGGGAAGTTGGGAGGGGGAGAGGAGGACACTGCTCACCTGGCTGCATGATTCTTGGTTTTGCTCCCAAGTATGCCAGATTCACGTTGGCCTTCCTACCATCAATGATGGGGTTGGGATCCTTGCAGGCCCTTTCGGCAGCAGCCCGGTCAGCCATGGTGACCTTAGCAACATACACAGACATACACACAAAGCCCTCAGTTAACCCCTGAAGGAAAAGTATTAAAGTCACTGAGCTTGCTTTTTCTTTCCTTTTCTTTCTTATCTGGGAGGGGATTGGGACATTAACCCTTCATCCTCGGTTTAAAAAAAATAAGCAGAAAGGAGAAAGGAGGAAGGAAGAAACCCTCCGCCCCTACCCAAAGACCTAAGGATGCTAATGTGGGGCCTGATAGAGGTTTGGAAGCCACAATTCTGAAATCGCCTGTAGATTTACCCTCTTCCCAGTGTCCCCTCTAGGTCCTCATCCCGGCCCCAGAGGCACTGTGGGTTTTAAACAAAGTCCAGCCTCAAGCCAGCCGGTTGCTCCCAACAGGCAAACACTCCCAGTCCACAATAGCGATTGTCCTGCTCCAGGGCTCCCAGCTCTTTGAGCAGCTTAATTTGCCCCTTTAAATCTCCAGGAAGCTTAATGCGCTGCTTCAGTTAGGCAAACAGCCAGAGGGTCAGCTTTTCCTTTCCTTTTTAGAATTTACCTTTGCAATTTAAAAGGTAGGGGTGTGATAAGAAGGGGAAACAGCAGCTCCATACCCCCTTCCCTAGCCCGGCCTCAACGCCACAACACACACACACACACATACACACACACACACACACACACACACACACACACACACACACACACACACACACACACACACACTTTTTTTTTTTTTTTTTTTAAACAAAGCAACAGCGCACTTAACAACCAGCCTCCAACCCCGGAATGCCATGGTGTGGGGCTCCGTTCTCTCCCTCCCAGCTCTCTACATCCCAGATCTGGCTCTCATTCCCCAGCTCTCTGGCCACCCGAAAGAGCATCGGAACCCCGCGAGGCAGGCACAGGCCCTCGCTCCCCAAACCTCGTCACGCTTAAAGTTTCAGCTCAGCTCTGAGTGGAGGGGGAGGTCCCGCGAGGTCCCACATTGCCCCTCACCCCAAGCTCTGACCCCGGAGGGCCTGGGACCACTCAATCCCTTCTGGCCTGTCTTCGGTCTCCCTTCCAGGACCTCTCTTAGTTGCCCCCCTACCCACCCCAAGACCTCCTTTGGGATAACTTACAAATCCGTAGCCGCGGGACTTGCCAGTCTGCCGGTCGGTGATGACCACCGCCTCCTCGATGTCTCCGAAGACCTCGAAGTACTTGCGCAGGCTGGCGTCGGTGGTGTGGTAGGGCAGCCCTCCCACGAAGATCTTGGTGTACGTCGTGTCCTTCTGGGTCGTGTGCATCTTCGCGCCCGCCCCGCGGCTCGGGCTCCGGCTGCGGCTGCGGCTGCGCCTGGTCCTCGGGCTCCGCGTCTCCCGCAGCGCGCGGCGGCCGCCGGGGGCCGAGGGCGCGCGCGGGGGCGAGGGCGCGGCGTGGGCGCTGGGCGCGCGACTTCCCAAGTGGCCCGCGGCCCCCGACACTCGCCCGGGTGCTCTGATGCTGTCCCCGCGTCCGGTCACTGTTCAGACCCTCCCGAACGTCCGAGTGACCAGCTGCGCGGCTGTAGACTGCGCGAGCCTTTTGCACTCACCCCTCGTGGAAGTAAAAAAAAAAAAAAAAAAAAATAATAATAATAAAATGCAAAGAGAGGGTGGTGGTCTCCGAGTCCAGAAGAGGTAGACGTTTCTAAAAAAAAAAAAAATCGAGTGGCTGGGGTGGTAGGGGGGAGAGGCTCAGCCACTGTGCCCCGGGGCGCGGAGGTGGCAGCTGGGGGCGCGGCGCTGGGCCCGGCTGGGGTTGGTGATGGTCCCTCCTTCCCGGGAGCTGCCAGACCAGTGCGGACGGAGGACAGCTCTCCACCCCTCTGCTCCCTTCCCCAGCGGCCCGGGGGTCGACGCCCGGCTGGGGAGGGGGCGGGCCGGACGCCTGCGATTGGCCGGGACAGCACCTGGGGCGCCCGGCGCCGCCGCCCCCCAGCTGTTGGGAACAGCTGCTTCTCTCCCCGCGCGCGGCGCGGCGCTGGGTCGCCTGGCTGGGGCTCCGGCGCTGTTGCTGGGGTAGAGTTGGAAACCGCAGGAGGCGGCCTGGCTCTGCTGTTTCCTGCTCCTACTGGTCAAAGTCGCAAAGACCCCTGGCGACTAGAGCAGGGACCCAGAGCACTCTGAGTACGCCTGGAAGGGGAGCTGCTTGGCTCCCCAGAGCCGACCACGAGAGCTCTTCGTGCTAGGCCTCGATGGCACGACCGAGTTGAGAGTCCCTCGGGGTTTGAGGCCATTTGTAGAGAGACCAGTCCCCTCCCAGACACCTGGGACCTGCCTCCTCTAGTGGTCTGGACCATGAGAAGAGCCCTCAAGTTTTCTTGGCCCCCAAAAGCTGGTGCTGTAGGGAACCAAGAGGTAGAGCCTAGTGGTGTGGTGTGGAGTGGTGTGTGTGTGTGTGTGTGTGTGTGTGTGTGTGTGTGTGTGTGTGTAACAATATTTATAATAAAAAAAATTAGCTAGCATCCTAGCATTTGGGTGTGCTTGAGAAAACCATTAGCTTGAATGGCTCACAGCCAGCAAAGGTGTCTGTGTCAATCATGCTGTGCCTTCTGTGTCAGAGGACCAAGTATTAGGTCTGTACCTCCCACAATCATCAAATGTGTGCTTCCTGCCTAACTTAGTTATTCAGGAAGATGGGTACAATGTCTGTCTCATAAGTCGATCCCACCCCCGCCTCCTTTTTTCCCAACCAAAGAATCTGTTTCTTTCTATTTGAATTACAAAACGTTAATTGAAATTGACCTCATTTATTTCTCTGAATATAATTGTAAAAAGTATGATTTCTTAAAAAACAACAAAACCCAACCTGTTACATAACCACTGATTTCTCCAGCAAATCTGAAAGCATTCGTAGAACACATTAAATGTAGTGTTCTACATTTAATAAATTAAATACATTAAATAAATAAAATATTTTTATTGATTTAAGCCAGCTCATTGCCACTTCTTTTACTAAACAAGGGTTTTAATTAAAGAAGCTTTGAAATCAGTCATATCTGAGGTTTGGATTAAAACGCTTTTTTTTTCTTTCTTGAGACAGGGTTTCATATATCCTAGGCTGGCCTTGACTTCCGGTGAATCACAAAGATGACTTTGAACTTCTGATTCTCCTGCCTCCATGTCCTGAATGCGGGATTACAGGCACATGTCACTGCTCTGAGTTTATGCTTAGGGGAGGAATGCAGGGCTTCCTGCCTGCCAGGCTAGCATTCTGCTAACTGAGTTACATCCCCAAGCCTCTGATGAAAGTGCTTAATGTGAACAGAACCCTCGGCGTTCACTGCTCGGCTTCTGTTTAAGAGGTTTCTGCTTGGAGAGTCCAGTGCAGTCCCAACACTAATTGCCCCTGGGCTACATCTTTTATTTCCTTTTAAACAGGTCAATGTGTTAATCTGATAGAACCCCAAAGACATACCCCAGTTACTTTCCAGGGCACCTTAGCTGTCAACCCAAGACAATGAAGAATGTGGTATTTGCAAAGGTGAATAAGAACCACTAGCAAATATTCTGGTAGGAAATCTTCACTCCATATTGCTGATTTCAACAGAAGGTTGACTGAGATGAGCAGTTCTTTAACTTTGAACCCCCAGTAAGAGACAAAGAAAAGTAAGAACTCCATCTATTGTTAATCCAGCTGAAAAAATTAAGTAATTTATAATGTAAGTATTTTATATGAAATGTTTTAGATGAAAGCCTGAATGTGGAAATATAAACCCTCCCCACAAAGGTTTAGTAAAGCACTGGTTCAGAAGGGACTCAGTGCTAGCATGACAAAAGATAATTTTTTAAAATAAAAAAGCAGGCCCTGAAACAGAAGAGGCACGCTTTTTAATATTTAACATTCACTGTGCGGTGTTACTTAAGAATTACAGTTCTTCACTGAAGCTGGGGCAAAAGAGCTCTTGAGAGGGAGGTGCCTATCAAGAAGTCTCACAGACATGTGACATTGGCTGTTTTGTGTCTTCCTCAATGGGTAAGAAGCCAGCCCACCCTGTAGGGAACTATGACACTCTCAGGGAAGGAGAGCGGCTGGGAACCCAGCCAGCAGTTTGGATAGTGGTCACTAGGCAAAGTGGAGAGAGCTGAGAGGAAGTTCCTACCCTACAATGGGATAGCTGTATCCCAGAGCTCAGCCTTGGGGAGGAAAGCCACTGTTTACTTGGAGGGCTGGGGAGACAACTTCCTCGGTAAAATGCTTGCTATGCAAGTGCTAGAACCTGAGTTCGGACCCCAGCATCATCATGAAAATCTAGATGTGCTGGCTTATCTTGGTCAACTTCTGCACACACACACACACACACACACACACACACACACACACACACACACACGGGCGGGGCGGGGCAGGATTGCACACCATTTTCCAAAAGAAATAACACAGGTGACAGCATTCCCTTCAATCCCAGGGGGCTCCGATAATGTGCCTTTAGAAAATATTTGACTCTTTTGTCTAAAATTGCTTCATTTGGAACAAGATGAAACCTGGGCACTCACACATATTTGAAATTCCAGAAATAATCAAGGCATCCCTAGTCAACTGGTGTGAGTTGCTGAGAATGAGGCTGAAGGGGAATGGTGATTATTTCCTAAATCTGCATCAGTAGAAGGCACCAGTCAGTGTTCTCATTGCCTACCATGGGTTTGGTTTCACATCCGCCCAGAGGTAGGCACAGTTACAAAGGCCAGCTCCACTCTCAGGGGGTTTATGAACCTGTGCCATCAAACCATGTATCCCCCCAGGCCCTCAGATGGATCTGAATCCAAGCCTCAAGATTATTAAATACTGAGTGTTTCTGTACAATGACCCATCACAAAGTCAGATTTGAAATAACAATATGTGAAGACTCTTCTCTTGTTCCCAGCTGCTTTTGGCAGAGGAGACACAGACAGCCACATGCCTTGCGCAATAGGATGTGTGCTTCTTTGGAAAGAAAGAGTGGTAAAATACTGTAAAAGTTATAAATAAGTTCCAAGCTTGCCGTATCCAAATTAGTGCACATGGATGGCCTGAATCCTTGGTTACCATTCCTTGGCAGGTTTGATATAATTTTATTACAGTAAATTACCATACATTGTTCAAAATCTTTACCTGTTAAAGGCCAGTACCAAACTCAAAGGCAGGACTTCATTTTATCTATTTTTTTCCTTTTTCCCTCTACTTCTCCCTTTTTAGCTAATCGTGGATAGCAAGTCCATGCTTACATGCATCTAGAAGAATTTTGAAGGGGAAAAAAGCAGCATTTTGTAAAGGTTGAAAAGTGTCATTTCCTCCTGGACAATAATCTACCCGAGTGTAGAGACACTCTCCTGGCTGTCACTGCAGGTCATCAAAACCATGGGCAGAACCTTCCAGTACTGAAGAAATAGCTACTGAGAGCCAGGTTCTAGGGGATCTGCTCAGTCAGTGTAGGGCTTACCTGGCAAGCAGGAGGACCCTAATTTCACCCCCAGAATCCATGTCAAAAAGCTAGGTGGAATAGAGTAAGTTTGCAACCCATCCCAGCATTTGAGAGGTGGAGACCAGGGGGGAGCCAGCCTAGCCTAGTTTGTGAATTTCAGGCCAGAGAGAGACCTTGAAAAGGAAACAAAACAATAAAAACCATGGTGAGCTAAAAGGCTGGGTGTCAACTCCATGTGCACATGCTCATCCATACCCTGGAACACACACATGTACACACACACACACACACACACACACACACACACACACACACACACACGAAATATTGACTGAAAATATTATATTAAACATGTTTAACCCATATCCCATGCTGGGTATGAGCCACTATATTCTAGAGAGAACTGACTGCTTGCAGAATGTTTAGGCTGGGTACTTAACATTTCTTGAAAATAAAGTGTGGCCTCAGGTAGGCCTTTGTTTAGCTTGTTTGGGAATGTTGGGTCTTTTGAGCACTGTAAACATTCTGATACAGGCTCACAGGCTTTCTGGCCTTTGGAATAGCCCTAAGTAGCTACTGTTTCTCGAGGCTGGCTAGTGATCCTTAGGCTCAGAGAACACATGCATATAATGGGCCCAAGTGGTGTTTTTGTGCACAGAACTGGCAACAGGAAGCCCCATCCTTGCAATCAGCCCTATCTTGGAGAAATCTATTCATGTTGCATTCCACCTCAGCTAGGCTGATAAACGGCTTGAAATGGACAAGTGTAACTCTTGAAGTCACAGCACTGATTTCATGTCAAGCATAAAAAGCATCTGAAAGCAGGGTGCACTTATTTAAATGATCACACAAGAGTTAAAACGAAAGTGAGAGGTGCAAGAAAGTTCATTGCTAATTTCACCTTGCAAACAATCTCCCTCTGCTGCGACTGTGAGCACACTTGAATCTCTGTTTAAATTTGGAAGGCCAGGGAGAGAATCCAAGCATTTAACCCCCCATGTGGCTTGCCTTTTCAACTCAGGGTGCACTTAGGTTTCAAGCCGGTACACAGTGAGCCTCTAGGCTGCCGAGTTATTTTTAGGGCACTGATGGTACTCTCCAAATGTATTGGATGACCGCTCTTGATGACAGTGTTATCCCGGTGATGTTGCTGTGGTCTAGGCAAAGGGCACAGTGGTGGAAATAGCCCTGAATCCTGGGACAGGAGGCATGGGGCCTGATCCAGAAAGCCATTAACCGGCCCCCAGAACATGCTTGGTTTTCTCGATTAGAAAGCACAGGTGGGCACAGCTCAGGGATAGAGTGCTTTCATGTCATGGGCAAGGCACAGGTTTCCTCTCTAGCAAAAAGAAAGGGACATTAGAGGGACAGGGAAGGAACAAGAAGTACTCATCCTAGAATGAAGACTGCTACCCACCCCCTTACTTAAAGATGGCTGTTGGTTACCCCAGATTTAGGAGACAACCCTATGCTTATACTTGAGTGTCATTTATTTCCTTTCTAATGTAAACTATTCAAGGTCATTCTGCCAAAGCTGTTTTCTCTAGTAATAATGGAAAGGCATATTTATTATAGAAAATTACCGATTGATAGCGAGACACACACAAGAGAAAATCAAATGCACCCACAGTTCTTCCTCTCAGAATAACTATTGACATTCCAGAGCAATCGATTCTGGGCTTTTCTTGCATACAAATAACAGACAGGACAGTGTACAAACACCAGTTCATTCCACTCTACACTCTATATTACCATCAGCCTTTTTAAAAAAACCTTATAAAGTGAAATATTTTTCCTTATCATGAAATGGTTTCTGTAATTCCTTTTAAATACTGTTTTATCA